GTCTTAGAGCGATTGACAAACTGGATGACATTCTAGCAAAACAAAGAACAAGCCATCACTGCATTTCCTCACTCTATCCTCTTTCCTTTTCTTGTCCTAGTTAAGCTTTAATGTCATGTGATAATTTTTATTATTTAGGTTTTTTTTGGGGGGGGGGGGCTGAAAGTACCCAATAGCAAAAATTGCTTCAGGGGTCAGCGTCTATTGTTGCTGCTGAGATTTTAAAGTCCGCCTTTTTAATGGCCACTTCCCCCACTCGCTTCTAAACTTCTGCCGTCTAAACGGACCGTTGGGCCAGGAGGAATGTTGCATAAAACCTGGCCAACAATGACCACAAAACAACACACAAAAAAAAAAAAAGCCAAAAGGGCCTAACCCGATTTCGGTACCTCCCCTGGACTTTCAATGCCCTTGGTTACCTGCCCCTCCAATTCAACCGGACCCTTGCCCCCCTGCCAAGCCAAGAATGCTGGAGGACAGTGACCTTTTCAACCAAGAGTCCCACCTTGGTTTCTCAGGAAGATTACCGGAAAGAAAGAGTACAGGAACTGTGTGCAGTCGTCAATCCTGGGTGGAGAGTATTCCAGTATTCTGGAGGGGCACTAGACACCGAATTAGGAGAACTCCTCTTGAATTTCATGCTGTATTGAAACAACCTTGCGAGCTCTTTATCTTTCACTGCTTTGGCTATCATTCAAAAATGTGAAACCAATTTCGCAGCGAGACAGCGGGTTTCTATTACCAGCCCTTCCATTATGAAGAACCAAACTCTGTCTCATTCAAGGGGCTTTTCCTCAATGGCAGTGGACATCACAAACACAAACACGAGTGGTGAAGTGCTGGGATTTATTTTCAAAGCCCCATTGACTTCGCCATTGCTGCTTCTGTTGTTGTTGTTGTTGTTGTTGTTGTTGTTGGACCGATGCCCAAAAGCGTTTGGAGCATCTGGGAGGCTCCTATGAGGCCAGAACCACAGGGGGGCACCGTCAGGTGTGCTGGCCCTGCTTAGGTGCTCATCAGGTGGCCCACAACAGATGTCCAGGTGGCAACAGTGATTCACAACTGGGGGGGGGCAAACACACACATATGCATGTTCCCAGGAGGTATCGCTCAAGTGAGATTCACGGCTGGTGAGGCACCGACATAAGCGTCGGGTTTATAGATTTATGAGTCAAATAGAGTGGTGGCGTGGCAACGTGACAACATAAAAAAATGGGTGCAAAATTTGCAGAGAGGCCAGGGCTCTTGTGGAAGAAGAGTGGCAGTGACTGTAACCTGGCTTCCACGGCGCGGGGGCAATGTGGCGCACTTTGTCTTTCATTTATGCGCAGTTTTGTGCAATTGGCAAAGCTAACGTGTAAGACTCAAATATCAAACATGTTCGCCAAATCAGGGGGAAATTAGAGCTTATTTTAGACGTGCCTGAAAACATGTTGGAGACATAAAGAGACAGAAACTTGCCAACACAGGCCGCCTCATCCCACTGGGTAAGGGATTGCGCAATCTACGGCGAGTTGTTGTCTGCTGCCGCGCTTTGCGTCTCGCCCTTTTATTTGCACAGAAAATATGGAAATTCAGCAGGTTTGTCGAAGAAATAATGAATCCACATCCCTTTATACATGAGTGGTGGCAAAGAAAGTCTTCCACCAAAGACGAGGGCACTAAAATCTACTGTATAGCTGCCTGGCACACTGAAGGATTACCTCAACCAAATAAAATTGCAGCAGAGGTAGAAGAAAAAGCAGAAAAGACAAACAACAGCAAAAAGCGATTGGAAAAGCTCCTGAGACACTCCAGAAATTAACATCTCGTCAACAGCTGGGTGTTACCTCAGCAGACGCCCCCCCCCCTCCAAAAAAACAAAAAAAAAGCCTCTTTCCTCAATTAAGGCTTTCACAAAGCAGAAAGTTTGAAATTCCAGCGTTGGGATAAAAGCTTAATCCAGGGAGCTCAGTCCTGATAACCAAAGTTAGCAACCATTACCGCAAAGTGTTGCCAGATGCTTCCACAGCCCAACTCGCGCTCGATCCTATCTTGGCTTTGAAGCCTTTGTATAAACAAACATGGGTCATACATATATGGAATATTAATCATTCAGATTAATATTCAAACGAATAAGTCTGACATCGTTTCTGTTGCACAAAATGTGGTTATAGCCAAGGGCAAAAAAAAAAAAAAGGGGGGGGGGGGAAAGGTGCAACGAGGTCATAAAAAGCCCCCAGCTCCTTACATTGGCAAGGTGCCATTAACATAAATGAAATGCTGAAGTTGCAAAGCCCACCTGCGCACTGCGTGCAACTATCGTAAAGCATCATATCTGACTGACTACGGGCGACGGGAAATTTAATGTCGGTGCAAAACAAACAGTCACACAATTCCTTGGAGTTATGCCTGTTAACGACAAGACTATTTCTAACCAATTTCCACTGAATTACAAAAATACTGCAGGGAAAGCAGCATCTGTTCAAATTTGTAAGTGAGGATGCAGTACAGTGTTTTTGCACTTTTGCTAGATTCTCAAGACAAAGCATTTTACGTAACGTAAACTGTAAATGCGAAGGCAGTGTTTTTTTTAAACCATTTAGTAAATACGTAACTCAAAACATTTGTATCTAAAAATCATCTTTCCTCACTGAAATGAATAGTTGTGCCATTAATCCGTTCCACCCCACCCAAACAAAAACTGAAAAAATGTAATGTACTTTTTATGAGGAAAATATCACTCTATTCACTTCACAAAACAATAAGAAATTGTTAAAATATGTGAAGAATTTAACATTTAATTGAAAGCCTTAACCTCGACAAACAAAGTGACTTTCTTGATATTTCCTTAACTCGTCACTGACTCAGGTGTTTCTAGCGATATATATCCACATCCAAATGGACCACGAAACAGGTGGGCTTTTTGGCTTCCCTAAAAGTCATTTATGCGCTCAGGAAACATCACATCATAGCTAACTAGCAGGTCTGAGAAGAAGCATAACGTATTGCTTTCTTTCTCTCAATGATTCATTTGTGCAGGAAGTTGCAGGTTTGAGGCACGATGGAAACCTAATCCATCAGGGAAGATCGAGGCGGGTGGGCCAGCGCTGTCTGATACTGGCCAGACGCCTCGGTGACAGCCCCGGCCGGCCGCAGCACCGATGCACGTGTTACCCGGCAACGTAGGCCGAAAGAGGGCTGAGCCATGAAAGTTTATGGAATAAAAAAAAAATAAAAAAATAAAGAAAAAAAATTAAAAACAAACAATCCACGTTAGAAAAAAATTGAGGTTGATAGTAGCGTTGATGAAAATTCCGCATCCAATATGGTCGAAGACATGCAGGGTATATGAACACAAATTCAAAATGATTCGCATGATATTACTTTATTACTGAACGGATAGTTTTTGCTCCCCGATGCTCAGTGCCTAACGGCTCGGTAATCATCAGATCAAATGTCCGCAGTGCCAAACAGAAGCATGCGCTCTCTTTGTGCTAATCCACACAACCAGCTTCCTACTCCAATCAAACCTTTTGTAAACTTCACAAGTTGGGGGCCGCCGACACCTCGGCTGCTTTATTTCAAACCTCCTTCAGACCACAAATAGGCCTAAATCGACCCAATTACTTTGTGCCTCTTTAAATACTTGCACCTCGTTTACTGATCCTTTCCAGCAACGGGCTCTGAGATAATGTGCTCTTCTTTACTTGATTTCCACTTTTGAGATGCCATCCAACATCACTGGGAGATTTTACAAGAAATCTACAGTTTATTTTCAATTGATATATTGCAGTGCTTGCACTGTTGAGACATGATACATTTATGCACAGTTTGAACATTTCTTTCAGCCATTTTAAAGTGTTTTCTACTTTGCTCAATATGTTTCGTTTTGAACCCCCTTCAAAGTTGTTGACCAATGAGCGGCGCCCATATTACATACAGACATGGGATAACAGTCAGTGTGAAACTTTTTGTTAATCCTTCTCCTGGAAATCCAACACTTGGCCGATTCCAGCCCGCAATCGTAATAATGCGCACTTTGTGCAAAGTGCCATCCCGCCGCAGCACTGAGAGACAGTGAAGGTGACAGACGAGACTGCGCTCTTTGAGTGGGCTGACATATGGGAGCAATCAGCAAAAGTGGGGGTCTGCTGGCCCAACGGTAATTAGCACACGGCCTCATGTTCATGTTTCTTATAATAGCCCAACACAGCCCGGTGCGGACTAAAAATAAACAGGGCAATTTGGGGCGGCGAGGAAGGTCGTCATTTGAGGGGTGTGACCTTTGAACCGGGGTCAGAACCCGTATAGAGGTGTCCATGTGGACCACCTGCGCCCCTCTGGGTCGCTGGGGAAAGGAGCCATGTCGTGTTTATGTTAGGGGTCAGGCGCAGAGTTAGACGCTTGTTGGCTAAACTGGACGTGTGAGTAAACATTGTCTATTTATATCAGGAGGCAGAAAGCGGGCTGCGTTTTGGATGCAACAGTGGCTCATGTGAAGAGGATATGGGTAATACAAATGGAATTTGAGAACAGCCAGAAATTGGTGATAAGATGATGAAGCTGAACTGAGCCTTCTACATCCTGAAAAAAATGGATGCAACTTTGTGGAGCGTCTGACTTGTGACGAAATATTTCCTAAATGCCGAGGCGTGAAAACATCTTAAAGCCTCCACTGGCTGGAATACAATGAGGCGCTCTAAAGGAATCTAAAGCCATTTCACGGTGAAGCCCCTGGCTGTCACGTTGTACAACATTTGGAGGGGCAGCTCAGCTTTTTTCTTTACAAGTGAGTTGTTGTTGTTGAGACTTTCCGAAAAATCGCCTCCCCTTCCCCCAATCTGAACGAGTCCACATTTGAGCTTCAGCATGAATCCGACTTCTCTTGCTCTGGCGAGATGTTCGGCGCAGATGTTCGCATCAGACTCCCGCCCAGACAAGCAAAAACCTTTCCCACCTGGCAAATCTCAAACACAACTTGGCACCCAAAGAAGCGGCAAAGGTTGTCCCGCACTGACCTTTCACCTCTTGTGATGTCAATGAACCTCCCGTCCAATTAAACGATGGAAGCGTCCCTTGGACCTGTCAGGCGCAAAGACAAATGAATCTATTAGATTCATTTTCTTTTTCTTAATGGCAAGCAGAGAAGCCCAAAAATGTTTCTATTACTGGAAGTCATTTGTGTGTGAAGGTTATTTTTTTTTTCTTTTTCTTTTTGCTGTTGTTTGGTGTCTGAGTGGCTCCAGAAAAACAGCAGGACAAAACCCACAGTTAGCCCGAGCTGTTCTATCACCGACTCAAATGCGATCGACTGTGAGCAGAGCTGGCAAGCTGCAATGACAAGGAATCATTTCATGTTGCTTTGCATTTGAGGCGGATTAATGGCAATGTGTCGGGACCTCGACGGGCCAAGAGAAACAGTGCGAGCAAGCCGCGCGTCCACAGGGCTCGCTATTTTTAAACCCACATTTGGCCTCGGAGCTGCGTGCCTACCACAGCAAAGGCTGCGCGATCCATCATGGAAGCCGAGCACAAAGACAATGTCAAAGGCTGGAGCCTCAAAAGCACCAACAAGGCCAAACGCTGTATTTTTACTTTCCGGTTCTCGCTCACACGGACTTGCAAAAGCTTAACTGACTGAGCTGTGACAGTCTGGATTCAGCGAAACTCGCGCTTGTGTCTCGTTTCTCCCGGAACGTTTTAACGCGCCAACCAGGACCTTGGTGAAGCTTCAGTTTGACCTGGTCAGTGGACTAGACCCCCCCCCCCCCTTGACCGCCTGAGAGAAGAAAGACCCCTGCGCCGCTTGCAAAGTGTTTGTTCTCACCGTCGGCCTTCAATTGAGGATAATTGTCTCTTTTAGATCTCGAGGGCCTGTGATCTGCCATCCATTGAGCCCAAAAGGAGGTTATGTTTCACCTAAGGAAGGAGGGAATGGGGGGGCCGGGGGGGGTGTTCAACAAGGGCCGCCTTGACATTGACGTAAACACAGCGACGACATCAAACGGTTAATACCAGATTCTTTCGACAAATCGTTGTCTCGCGGTATGTGGAACGCAGTCGTTCAGTACAAAAGTATTAAATATGCAAAACGTTTCCTACCAGGGATCAAAATGTCACGATTCATGACAGCGGGTGGCTTCGGATACAAGCGACCCAACTTATGAGGCTTTTCAACTCAATTGATGAACCCAAGGGCTGGTGCGGCTCCAATGACAGCTTCATTTTTATGAAGACATTTTGGGCAATCTTGCTGGACGTCTTTCCAGAAGAGGTTCAAGGTGAAGTGAAAAGGATTTTCACTGTTGGGATGTGTAACGGTCCCACTTTACTTTTGTCCACATGGTATTCTTCAGCCCACCAGGTGTTTTTCTCACCCTCACGTCCAGCCAAAATGCATAGTAAGCACTTTGGCTCTAGTTTGCACTTCATAGCTGCCGCTTCCTGCCTCGCAGTGATACACCTGCACAGCTGCTTGAATCACACACACATAAAAAGCTCCTGAAAGCACAGCTGTTGGTTTGCACCGGCGAATGCATCCAATTGAGAAAATTTGCATACGGTGAGGTCACCACCGCAAAAATTGTGAACCAACAACAGGGGTGGGAAGTAATGACGCACAATTACTTCATTACTGTGCTTGAATAAATTTCTGAGGTACAGTCATACATTCAAAAACAAGTTCAATTTGTTTTGTGACCACGTCTTCTGTGAAAAACAACTTATGGCCAATGATAATTCCCCATTAAAATAAATGTTAACAGCAATCATCCGCTTTAGGCTTCCTACAAAAAAAATATATATATCTATATTATTGTACGTCATGAAAAACGCTTGCTATAATAATTTAATGGAATGTTTCATGAAAAAAAATGCCTTATTTATTTATGCCAGCTCCTTCTCGTGTGTGCAAAGAACAAAGAAGAGTATTGTTTTTTGGCAGAGTATAAACAATGGGAGTACTCAAGTGCCACTGGATGTACGACTTTCCTTGATCATTTTATCAGTCGACTTTTTACTACGACTCACTTGATTTTGAAAACTGCAATCTTTACCGTCTTCTTCGTGAAAGCAGCTTTGTTACGTTTTTTTTTTTAAACCTCCACACATGACGACGTAACGTCAACTGTGGTTCAGGTTTCGATTGACTGATTGAATTCATAAGACCGACCGTAAACCACGCGCGGATGCAACAGACGGAGAGACGGTGGCCTAATTTAAGAGAAGTGTTTGATGTGAACCGCTCCAGGAATGATTGGTGGCAAATAACGCCGTGTGTCTTGCGGCGGCCTAAAAACCACAAGCTTCTGACATTTATGAAATTTCGGGGAAAGGAAAGGTGTGTTATTTTTCCTGGCATTATGAGCCATTTTTTTTTTTTTTTTAACAGCTCATAATGCAAAGCTATGGGAAGACGTTAGAGCAGCATTTCAAATGGTCAAAATAAAAGAGCACTGTAGCTAATTGACAGTAAAAATTCTGTATTTCCACCCGAATAAAAAAATATATAAAGATATACTTTCTTCTGCTTAAGTGCAGAGTGCGAGTCCTTCTGCCAGTGAAATGTTGTGTATATTGACTCGCTCGAGGATCTCGCATACGCCGACATTGCGACACCCTCCCCGCCCCCCCCATTCCTACCATTTGGGCAACCTCTCCATCACACTCGCTTCCTGGCTGCTGGTTCAGCGCCTCATGTGGGGACAATGTGTGCGCTGCGCTGCGGCAGAGGAGACAGCCGTCAGTCTGTAAAAAAAGGAAGTGGTGCTGTTTACCCCAAAGGAATAGGAGTGTTTATCCTGACTTGCCGACTTTGATCTTTTCCTGTTAATCACTTCCTGCAGCGCACTGTATGCGAACTACAGCGAGGGGCCAAGCTGCCATCATAGGTTCTCATTGCAGAGGAGGTAAAGAAACAATGCCCGAGTGTCGGGTTCCCTCCGCTCATGACACATTGACGGCTCTTTCAGAAGAGGCTATGTTAAAATTCGGCATCCTCGGGCTTGGAGAAGCATTTGACACAATGTGGGATTCCAAGACAAGCGAGCACAGACCGCCCTTGATTGGGTGAGGTGCCAAAACGCATGACCACACTGCTTTGGCACGACTGTGACATTTCAATCGGGCCCTTTCAGTTGTCTGAAACAAACGACTATCGTGAGTGGCACGAGGCCCTCTATTAGGGTAGATTGACAGGCAACATACACATTTGGGATTTCCGAAAAGTTTCATTGAAAAATTATATTTTGGTGCAAATTTTCATTTCACGAATGCGCAATGCACTTTGATGCCATCATTTTTATTGACAGTTTTTAAGGGGTTACTATATTTCAGGAAAGCATTCGTGTTCTTTGTTCGGCCTCCTGTCCTGACTCTGTCATGTGGGCAAGCTCACCTTCACGCACAGAAACAGCACACACAATTTTCACCCCCCCCCCACACCCCCGTTCCCCCCTTGCCGAGCATCTGAGAATAAACAACTTTTGAAATCGGAGGGGCAACACCCCACGACTGCAGAGTGAAATTTACATCTGCGCCAAAAACACTTTCTACCTCAAACAAGACAGTGTCTGACCTCGGACTGAGACTATGGGCAGTTCTTATTCCCCCGCCCGCCCAGTCGCACTGTGTAGACAAGATGATGAAAAACGACAGTGTTTGTGTATGCGTGAGCTGCATGAATTATATGTGTACAGCCAATGTCGTGCGGCCGGACGGTAAGTTCATGCGAATTTGGCGAGACGTGACTTCTATTTGTTGACTGTGGGGTGGTGCATCTTTCTATTTCGACATTGAGCAACGAATGCCCTCCCTCCAGGGTCGTTTTGAAGCACGCTGCCAACTTTGCTTTTATTGCTTTGTTTTTGTACAAGTTGGCAAGCCAGAAAGTGAACATCGCGCCACTCAAATTAATCAATGCAATACACGTTGAGAGGACACTTTATTAGGTACACATGCGCAACAAAAGGGGCCGGCACCAGTTTTCAAGATTCTCCCATTACAAAGACAGCACGCCGCTCAGATGAGAGATGGGTTTTCATTTAAAACATGTTTATTACAGTGGCTGAAGTAGGTTGTTTCGAACTCCACCACTGAGGCTTTTCAAATATATTTTTTTTTTTTGCTCACATTGTCATTGATGTGTCAGTGCTGTCAAATAAAAAGCTAGTCCCTCCAAATTAGGGCCGAACATAATATTTATATTTATCCATGAAATAATTTTGCTCCATTTTGATTTTCACAAGTCTGGGGATTGACAGGGCTAACCTGGGACCTCAGGGGTCATCATTTGTGACCTATCACGTGGAAATATGTGTTGGTACAACGATAACATTGCTCGACTGCCTATCGAATTTTTTGACATTTGTATTCGATTTCTATGGATCGTATGCGGGTGCATCTAATCCAGTGCGTGTGTGCAAGCGCATATGTTCGATACATTCTGGCACGCCAATACAAATGTCCATTGCCGTTGCCGTCCCCTCACGTAAAATGACACAAAACCTCAGAATCGTGAAGTCAATTGGCTGCAGGGCAATGTAACAAAAACTAAGTCGCCCACGTAGTTGTAACCGTAACATGTGGTGAGCATTTCAATAGCCACATAAAACACAAAACTCAACGTTACACAATATGAGACTTCACCATCCCGACCGGGGTTGCAACGCTGACTCACTCTGTTCGAGTGCGAGGTTTTGTACGTGTGTATCGCGGTGTGTTTTTGATGAGGCTTGCGTGACTAGCGCGGAGTGTTAGAGCCGAGAGTGGAAAGGTTCCTCCTCTCCTGCCTGGAGGGAAATAGCAGTGTGTTGTGTGCGTCAAGCCGCTTTTAATCCCACAGTTTTAAAAGGCCGCGTAAAACAAACAAACCCCGCACGAGACTTCGCTTAGCATACAGGTATTGTGATACCAACGATAAGTCAGTCAAGTGAATCAAAATAAACTACGTTTCGGCTCATTCTGTTGCATGTTTTTGGTTCCGCGCCAGGTCGGGTGGAGATTGATGTGCAAGAACTTGGATTGCTCAGGGTTACCGGTAGAACAGAGACTGCTCAAGCCGCATAAGGGCGGGGTCAAGTCGGGCCAGCCTTCATAACCACAATCATATTCCGAAATTCTTTTTCGGCAGGCATGTTAGCAAGGTAACTCAAATGACGTCCTTGCAGCTAAACTGCAGCTGAGGTGAGTCAGACAGACGTCATCTCACCTCGTGGAAGTGACCGTCGGCCGCCTGTTGCTCATCCACACAGCAGCGGCCCGAAAGAGCGCAGTCATGTGTTGCTCACTGAAGCGGCAAGCGCTCGAGTGTCATACGGGAAGGTGCCGTGAGGAAGAGCAAAGCTTGGCCGGGAAGCCTCTCCGGATGCAGTCAACAAAGGCTACCATTAAAGAGTAGGGAGAGCGATAGGAACATACCGAAAGCGATGGCAAAACGTAAGCGCTAAAATAAGAGGCGCAGTGAAAAGGAGAGTCAAATCATGAGGGGGGGGAAAAAAGTTACGAGAATAAAGTCTTTTTTTTTTCAAGAAGAAAATGTTATTAGAAGAATAACTTCAAATTTTCCAAAAGCGAATGTCGAAATTCACGACCGTGTCAAGGATTTCGCAAGGCCTGACCCACAGTTAGAAGAGAAACAATCCCCAAGTGAGTCCTGACGAGTAGCTGCTGGGTTCTGTCGCGTGATGTCACAAAGGATTCCGAGTCGTATGTTTGAAAGAGTCTATATCATTACCGGTCTGAAGTCGTCTTTTGTTTATTGCAATGACATTCTCTGTGATATCAAAGCGTTTGGGCTGAACAGTGGTGTCGCCTTGGCATTTTCTCCACATGTTGTCTCTCTTTTATTTGTCTTTCCCAAAGTAGCAGATGTCACTTCTCATGCTAACTGCCATCACTGAGAATGTGAGACGCAAAATTAATCTTTGGAAGTCAATTCAGAGAATATTTGCTTTTTTTTCTTTTTTCCTTTTGATGGAAAACAGGCAAAGAAAAAAAAAACATGTTTTCTTAATTTTAAAGTTAATGATTAGGCATACCCAAGTCGCTCCAAGCATGCAGGATTTGATGTATTAAGAGCAATAGAGGAGTGGGAGTGGACAAAGTGGGGCGGAGCCAGGGGGGGGGGCACCCTGCTGCTTCCCAATCCGAGTGACAATGTGACAGGTGGAGGGGGCTTGCCCATTTGGGTGTTCCAGGCAGAGCCTCGGGGACGAGCTTCACCT